ACACCTGGGGTCAGGTGGACCAGGACACCTGGGGTCAGGTGGACCAGGACTCCTGGGGTCAGGTGGACCAGAACACTTGGGGTCAGGTGGACCAGAACACCTGGGGTCAGGTGGAGGTGTCAGAGTTCACCGTTGCCTCCAGAGTTGGACAACATGAGGTGAAGTTACTCTTTGAGTCGAGGCCGGTTTTGTTTAAATATTAAAAACAATTTGTTTCAATAAAATTTTAAAAGCAGACTGATTTTCACCAAATGTTTTAAAATTAATATTTTATCAGTTTCACGTTTTTCCGGGACCTTTATGTTTGTTTTTATTTTTTAATAAAAGGGTTCGACTAAATTTGATCCTCGACTGTAAAAACAGACATTTTCCTGCTGATTTGGTTTAATTTGATTAAATTAAACGTCGTTCTGCTTCTGCAGCCTGAAGGTTTTATTGTTTTAATGTTTTCACCACAAACGTGTTTAACATTTTACTGATTTTAGTGTTTTACTGTTTTTAAAGCTTTCTCTTCAGTTTTGTGTTTGAGTTTCTGTGAATTGGTTTTCTTGCCTTAACTGTCACTACTTTATGATTTTAACGACTTGCCGGGTCTGAGTCGCTGAGATGAACCCTCCGTTCAGACCGAGCTCGTGTTACGTCTGTTCCTCGTCCTTTTGGGTGAATTTCTGATCCACGAGGTTCTGAGGGGGGTTTGAGCTGCAGCGGTTCAGGTTCAGCTCCTTCCTCAGCAGCAGATGTTTTTGGTACCGATCACGTCTGCAGGAGCTCGGCCGACTTCTTCTCCGGACATCTTTAGTTTCATCTCCACCAATCAACAAAAAAGTTCACTTCCTGTTTGAAAGCTGGTTCTGTTGGGTTTTTTTTAACAAGTTTCTGTAAAATTTACTGCGATTATAAAAAAACAAACTTCATTTTGAAAGTTTTTATGTTTTCTGTCTGAAACGTTGGAGCTCAAATGTCTCTAATCTGAAGTAGTTTTTCAAAAAAGCACCTAAAAGTGTTTTGAACAGAAACGAGATGTGTTTTAAAGTTTAACAAAATCTTCTGAAGGGTCACGAACAGTTAATATCTTACCTGTTGTGGATAGCTCAGTTTGTTTACGGTTCATCCAAAGTGGCCCAGGCCGGACAGGAAGTGCTACAGCTGCTAACAGCGCCTGAAAACACAGAACTCTGTGTAAAAGATTGAAGGTGTTTTTTTAAAGGAATGCATGTCACCCGCCACCTTTCATCCCAGAGTTTAAACTTGAGTCATCTTACATTTTAAAATGACGAGTTAAAGATGTTTGACTTGCGGATGACTCTCAGCTACTACCACGCTACTTTTTACCTCCGTATCTGCAAATCTGACTAAACTACAACCATTTTTGTGTTTTTAATATCAGTTAGTTGTGCTGGAGTTGTCTAAATACCAGCTTCAAATACTCGTACTAGTACTCGTAAATCCACCCCGATATGTTGGACTTTAATGCTCGGTGATGTCATTTCCTCTTCCACTTACCAATAACGAAGAGTCAAAATGAAAAACGTTTGTAGTTTAGAGATGTTGGGTACGAGGACGATGTGCAAATGGCAAACCGTGACCTCGGACTTTGAGGAGCCGAGTCTCGTCCTCTAAAAAAAAAAACTTCACAGCCGTAGTAAATTTGTCGTGGTAGTAGCTGAGAGTCACCTCAACACACGACTGAGCGCAAACGGATCCAAAACGTCTGAAACTTTCAGGATGAATCTGAAAGTTCTGCGTGAAAGAAGACGAGCCTTTAATTCTTTTAGTTTCCTGTCGTACCGTCGTGTTCTGGTCTCACCGACATCATCACGCCGTGATGTACCTGTGACGTTCTCACCTGCTTCCTGACGATCTGACGCAGCAGCCGGTGGAAACCCAGAAAACAAAAATAAAGTTTCCACGTTGGTTGGCAGCGACACGCAGACTCACTAGCACTTCCGCCACATCGAATCAAAACGTCTGCAGCGATGAGGGTCCCCTTTACAGAGAGTTGCTCACCACAGGACAGCTGTGTGTGGGGTCCCGTGTGTGTGTGTGTGTGTGTGTGTGTGTGTGTGTGTGTGTGTGTGTGTGTGTGTGTGTGTGCGTGCGTGTGTGTGTGTGTGTGTGTGTGTGATCACAGATAAAACGAGCTCCAGAGAAGCGACACCACTTTCTTAAATTGGGGTTTGGTGCTAAAGCCGACTTCGGCTCGCTGAGAATCTGCAACCAAGTAATAAGATAGATGTAGGTTCAGTTCTCTGCAAAGGTTATGAACAGTTAATATCTTACCTGCTGTAGATGACTCTTTGAACGACCTCATTTTGGATCAACAAGGTTGTTCATTTTAAATTTTGGACGGCATCCACGAAAATTTTCCAAACTGTCCCGGACGTTGACGACGGTCCTCAGTTTCCTCGCACGAGTTGTCAAGCGTGCGCTACAGGATTTTTAAACCTTTTTTTTTTTTTTTTTTTTAAAGAATCACGTCCCAGAATAGTCTCGAGTCGTCGCGAGCGTCTCAAACTCGTCTCCGTTAAGTTTCTGAGAGTCGGAAAGTGCGAGAAAACTTTTGCAACCCATGAAACCAAACTGACCGACCGGAGACATAAAGAGAATAAACTGAGACACGATTAAGATACTTGGACTAAACTGCGACAGATAAATGTGCGTTAACGTCACGATTTATCCACGGCTACGTTTTCTATAAACGCTGCAAGAACTGATTCGGTGACGCTCCAAGTACAAATGTTTTCTTACGACCGCCTTCAGCGAGTTGCAGAGTTCTGCAGCTCGTGAGACGCAGGATCCATTCTGACCTGACTGAGGAGCTAAAGGCTAGTCTCTCTGTTGGAGACTCAGAACAGTGAAAAAAATGGCTGAATTTCTGTTAACGTCTTGCTGTTTGTGTCTCGACTCGTTTTCACGTGCACAGCTGTGTTTTGCGCCGTGCACGTTATTCCGTCGCTCACCTGGCGTCTCGGTTTTCATCCGCGCGTTTTTTTTTAGACGTGGACATTCTGGGCTGTCGTCTTTTTCCGTCGCAGCGGAGCTCTTTGGGAGGTTTCAAGAAGCTGAATTCAGCCGAGTGCGCGACGCCCTCGACGGCCATTTTGAGAATATTTGTCACGCACGTTTTTTTTTTTTATTCGTTTAAAAGCAACAAGATTAAACGATATGAACGACTGGAGACGGTTGGAGGTGCGACAGAGGCTAAAGTGAATCGCCGCCGTCTTAGAACGTCTCCATCTTCTGCTGCTTGTCTGTGGTCGGGTCGAGGAGCCAACAGGTCCGGGACAGAAACCCAGACCTCCCTCTCCCCAGAGACCGTCTCCTGCTCCTCCTGGAGGCGCTCCCAGACCTGAGAAGATCCCTAAATGTGTAAAAGTTTAATCCTTTGTCACAAAAGCTACTTTACAAACGTGCATGGCTGTGAAGTCGACATCGTACGGTTGTTTCCACAGACTGGTTCTTTACAAGTAGCAGCAGCAGCTAGCTGTAGCACTTGTAGTCCAGGCTGGGGCGCCTCCTACACGAAGACCAAACTAACCATGTGATACTAACTTAACATCTTAAATGCTTATAAAATAGTTTTCACATGAACCACCATGAATTTTTGAGGTTTTACTCACGTTAGCTCGTCCGTCTGTTCAGAACCAAACTGAGGTCATACAAAGGGTTATCTACAGAAGGTAGGATGTTTATTGTTCAGAGCCCCGCTCTGAAAGGTTTGAACTCTTTATTGATTTAAACAAGAAAGTGAAGAGTTGGTTGAGTTCAGCTGAGCGTAACAATGCAGTTCTTTTTTAATATTTGTTCAAAACGTTTCTCCCTGTTGTTGTTTTTTACCTTCAGAGTTTATACCTAAAGGAGAAATTAGCAGAAGTCCAGCGGTTTTTGATATTTAGTTATTCTCATGTTTATTCTCAGGGTTTGTGTTTGTAGTTTTATGATGAGGTGGAAGCTCCAGCTTTATCAACGACCAGGACTGAAGCCTGTTTCAATGCGGAGCGTCATTCAGTGGATAATTTCTGCAGATTTATCTCCTTCAGTCCGGTTCTGCCACATCCCGACTCCGTCCTGCTGCCTGAGGAGGAAACACCGTCTACTTCCTGCTGGAAGGAGGCAGAACGAAACCAAACGTGGGAGGAAAGTCTCGTTGTTTCCGCGGGCCGGAGATCCGACTTGTTTGTTCAGACAGCAGGACCGGGGACTCACAAGACCAGGTCTCTGTGGTGGTGTTGGATCAGCCCCAGGTCTCTGTTCTGACAGCAGTGGAGTCCAACCTGCAGAAGAACAGGTACTGTCTGACCTCTGACATCAGCGATACGTTTCTGTTCACAGGAACCTGTGAAGGTTTTTATTCATCTCCACCTGGTCCAGAATCCTCCGGTGCGTGGAGCATCGGTTGTGAACAATGCCAACTTCAGCCCAGTACCTGCACATCTGGTTCATTTAACGTTCTTTTGTTTACAAAACTCAGTTGGCTGTGGGCGGCCATCTTGAATTGGGTCAAGTCTAACAGTTGACCAGTTGTGTATCCAAAGATTATTTCCTGAAATATTTGAGATATTTTGCTAACAGAGTTGACAGTAATGATTGATGCCAAGGAATTTAACACAGCTTTTTTTTATAATCTAGTGCTCAAAGCACAAGTTGAGGATAAGTCTCAGCTCCACCGAGGTTGAGCTAAATCTCTAAAAAGATTTAATGAACTTTTATTGTGTTTGCTAAAGTTTATCGGCTATGGCGGCCATCTTGGAAAAAAAGTTGATTCTTAACATCAGTTAGATTTATATCTAATGATTACTTTCTGGATGTTTAATTGAAATCTGTCCAGATGTTCGTGCTAACAAGACGGTTTGTGTTTTTTTCTGTGGGTGATGATCGGTTTCTTCCAAGTCTTGTTAGACGTCAAGTCTTCTGAGTAAAGCCTTTGTTTAGTAGTGTTTGTTTGTTTCTTTTTAGTTTAGTATTTACGATTGTTTCTGTTCTAAACATCTTCATGTGGGAAGTTTCCTCGTGTGTTTTCCATAATAAGACAGAGTTGTGCGGGTGGGCGGGGATTACCGAATACGGCAGCCAATAGAATAGAACGCCTCGATGGCGGGAGGAGTTTATAGCACACCAGCCAATAGCAAGCAGAGTCTCATGAGGGGGCGGGACTTGTTGGCTACATCAGCCAATGGGAGGCCTGGACGTCCCTGTCAAACGGAAGTGATGGATGAGTCAAAGCGGAGCAGCAGAAACGGCTCCACTTGTTGCCGAGCAGGAGTTGAGACCGTCAGCTGACCGGACCGCGGAGTTCTGATCCCGCTGCGCTGCTCTGAGCCTGAAAGCTGCCGGACCGCCGCCCGAACTGGACCGAGCAGCCGTCTCCTGCCCCTGTCGGATCTCAGGTGAGACGATTGAATGGATTTAATGTTTTTGGAGGCAGGTGTCCGTTTTAACCTCACCAGACGAACAGAACCGGGCCGGTGCTGGAGGAGAGGGCAGCTGGAAGGTGTGAACTGGACCCATGAGGGGTTCGGTTCGATTTTGTTGACAAAAAAAAAAAAAATCACATTTTGTGTGTTTGGTTCGACCGCAAACAAAAGTCCGGCTCATGAAGGAAGAATTGTTCCGAACCGATAAATCTGTTGTCCTGGACCTTCTCCTCATGTTGATGTTCCTGGAGAACAAAGAGGCTTTTCGGAACCGGTCCAAGTTACTGTAACTCAGACAGTCCTGAAAACGAGCCAAGTTCCCTGGACCGGACCGTGGTCTCTGGGGGGACGGGTTCAGGACTGTAGTCCCTGGAGACCTGACGGGTCCGTTAAACCCGCCGGACTGGTTCCGTGTCTCTGGAGGAATCCTGGGCTCCAGATGCAGCTTCTTTCTGGATCTGGACTGGATTCAGAATCTGCAGTCAGAACCAGAGTCCACATCTAAAGTGGGTCCTCAGAAGTTCTTCTGGGCCTGGAGGCCAAGTGAAACCCTCAGAATGTGGATTTGACTCTGTGTGTTTTTGGGGTCACTCTCAGCTACTACCACCCCAAAAATCAGCTCGATGTCTGTAAATTGACTGACTTGAAGCCATTTTTGTGTTTTTCAGCTCCGTTGGCTGTGGCGGCCATTTTTAACTGGATTCACTCCAAAGGTTAAAGAGTCGTCGAAATAAAACCAGGGATGACTTTAATGAAGTTTTGTTCAAATACACCCAGCGGTTGATGAGATATTTTGCTAACAGACATGGGTGACATCAGCTCACCTCTGAGGTAACACCTGTGGCGGAGCCCCTCCTCTTCCTGCTGCAGGTCTGGGGTCAGCTGGGCCCAGTAAACCCTCAAAGGTTTATTCATAAATATTTATTAAACTGCAACAAACCTTCAGGTGTTCTTATAAGAGGAACATTAAGTTGCTGCGACTTGCGGCCTTTTTGACCCGTCGGCACCAGGAAGAACTCCTGGTGAGGTTCTGTTTGCAGACTGAGCCGGCGCCTGAGGGAGCAACAGAACCGAGACCGAGTCACTTCCTGTTCACCTCTGGAGGCCACACAGGGTGAGGCTCGTTAAAGAACAGGCCCGTGTGTGGTCCGAGGCCCGGTTCTGATCCGGTGGAATGGAGTTTCTGGACTCAGGTTCTGGTGTAGAGCCATGGTGTGAGGTTCAGGGTTCTGTTGGGCTGGACGGCAATACGTCCTCAGAAGCATAGAAATACAAATGTGTGTTTCCATGTCAACAGAGATGTCAATCATCCTGAGAGCAGCAGGGGAGCCCCCACCCCCGAACACACACACACACACACACACACACACACACACACACACGGGTTTGTGCACGCTCCGTCTTCAGAGAGCAGAACCTGCGTGGGAGCTCTGAGTCATCGTGGTTCTGTGTGAAACCAGAACGTCACACGGTCCGAGCTGCAGAACCTCCTGCAGCCGACAAGATTATGAAAATGGCGTCTTTAACATGATCACCCGCCGCCGTGAACGGCCGCGATCATGTATTTGCCCGTGTTTGTGTCTGTAGGCAAAATATCTCCTGAAGCACCGGACAGATGATGGAGTTGACCCAATTCAAGATGGCTGCCACAGCTAATCACTTCAGCCAGCCACCTGTGGCGGCCATCTTGGATCAGGCAAAGTCCAACGGTTGATTAAAGTCCTTGACGCTCTGAAGCCTCGAGGGGTTCCTTGAAGTTTGTGCTCGAGAATCGACGCTTTTCTACAAAAACGACCAAGTTCAGAGAATTTTTAGTTTAACTGAGACAACCGGAGGCGGAGTCTAGACTACCGGAGGCGGAGTCTAGAGGTGACACCGCCATTTTGTTTAATTTACTGATGGAGTGGCTTGTTCAGATCCTGACGGTTCACAGATCTAACTGTAATGAAATGAGGAAAAAACTGGTTTGACTCTTCGGGGCGTAAGACATTAAAGGATTCATGAGATATTTTGCTAACAAATGAGCTCACACACCTGCAGCAGCAAGCGGCGCCAACTGCTGATATTTCCTGGATTTATTTCCCTTCGTGCCGTGTCCGTATGAAACAAACGCACGTTAACGTTTGGAGCAAACCGATTCAAGATGGCTGCCACAGAAAAAACGACCTTAAAAAAACCACAAACGCGTCTTAAATTGAGTCAGATTTACAGATTAGAGCTCCACTTCCTGTGACGATCTTTAAGGTTGGACCCCGCGGCTCCACCTGAGGTGACCTCGGTGTGGACGAAACGCCGCGGGCGATATGCATCCCCTGAAATCCTGCCTGACGTGTAATTTACCGTTTCCTGTGAACGGAATGGAGGGAAGGCGTGAAAAGAACGCTGAGAGCAGATCTCACCGCAGAGTCTGTGGATTTATCACAGATTAAACACTCAAACCTTAATATTTTAATGAGATTTGAGTCTTTTGGGTTAAAAACCAAAGCATTCTTGGAAACGACGTGGAACTGCTGAAACTGTCGGATTCTGCCTCGGCTGCAGCTGAAGCGTCGGTGACACCAGGACGGTCTCTGTCCTCACGCCTGTGATGTCATCAGTCTGCTGCAGGTGAAGCGTCGGTGACACCAGGACGGTCTCTGTCCTCACGCCTGTGATGTCATCAGTCTGCTGCAGCTGAAGCGTCGGTGACACCAGGACGGTCTCTGTCCTCACGCCTGTGATGTCATCAGTCTGCTGCAGGTGAAGTGTCGGTGACACCAGGACGGTCTCTGTCCTCACGCCTGTGATGTCATCAGTCTGCTGCAGGTGAAGTGTCGGTGACACCAGGACGGTCTCTGTCCTCACGCCTGTGATGTCATC